TATTGAACCCGGGAGCTTCGTCTACTCTGAGATCAAGGTTGAGCCCCCATGTTTAAAACCGACGGAGACAGTATATCCAGACCGGAGGCTTTATTTCTTTTAGGATTGCATTGTATTGTAATAACTTCCGCAAGCATGAAGCCTACATTTCAGTTAAAAATAAAGGATAACTTAATTCGTCGAGAAATCGCCATTTCAGAGGGAGGACTGACAATAACTGGAAATATTTGTCCAGTTGAGGCAGAGGTAGACGGGTCTAACATTGATGAGAGTCAATTGAACTGAGCACTGAAATGTTCTGCCGTCATTCAAGACGTGGTTGAATATGAATCGGTGTGCTATCAGACTCTTTCATTAACTCATGCATGCTAACTTTCCTTGAGCCCAAACTTCTAAAAAACGGAAAAGATTGCGAGCATCACAGCGAAATGGTTATTGTGCCCAAAGACAGAGTGGATGAATTCCAATCGGTCGCAATGTCATTCAACCAGCGAACTGAGGTAAGAAATCCACGGAAGATGGGAGCTGAGCTGAGAAAAATTCGTGACAAGTGTAGGAAAAACACGAAATGTTGTATCGTATTCAAGTACCGGATGACCGACAGCATGATGAAAAACACTTACTCTTCCAGAATCGTCACAGCCTGAGTCTTGAACAGGAAGTCAGATTCATACTGCCCTATCAAGGATTGCTGGACACGACTGGCAAGACGGGAGTAGAGCACAACCTCGACGGTCATTCGACGATTGGGCAACGAGGCCACAATCCGTTCTGTGCCCAAAGTATTTGACAGACTGGATGCGCTGCTAGCCATCCGGGAATTCAACAGACCACTTTCTGTGTGAGGAAATAGTGCAAAGTCAATGAAGATTTAAAACAGTTGTAACGGAGCAGAAGTCGATTGAGAGATAAACCTTATCCGTAATCGATTTGCGTGTCGAAGAGGAGAATGATGTGTAGAAAAACATTTCACAGCTTAGTAAGTCATCTAAAGTAGCTCAAACACCATTTGAATCACCCTTTAGATAGGATCAGTATTCGCGACAACATAATTAGTCCGAATTGGGAGCGTGCGCGCGAGCGAGAGAGAGAAAAACCCGTGTACCTCCGACCATACTTCCGCATAGATCTTTCACATGTCTTGATAAAAATATTACGCTTTAAAAAGAGCCGTCAATGCGTAATAAAATAAATCCTCTCGAATGGACTGTCTAATAAAGCTGTGTGCAATGAGCAGATGAACTTACAACACGGTCAGTTTGATACGACGGTGAGTGTATTACGACAAATCAAGTCCGATACGCAACGAAAACGGAATCAACACCAAACCGATTCACAACAGGCAAAACTCGCGTTCCATGCCGAATGGATCACTCAACTACTACTGTTCACAGGATACTCTAGAACGATGATAACACTGTCGTTGAATGTGGACCTAGTTCTAGAAAATTGATCTGCTGAAGCGTGAATGCACACCGACAAAGATTTTAGTTTCTGTTCATTCTTGGTGGTGTTTCTTCAAAGATGTCCATGGTGATATTCGATTGCACCAGTACAGCTATCTGCAAGCCAGCACCCGATCAGTTCCAGATGACAGAGTAAAGCTGATAGGCCAAAATCGCGTACGCGGAGAACTTCACATTGCATGCACGCAATACACTTCACTGCTCGCTGCAATGGGTATCCTACAGAGCACTCATGCTTCTTCTTTTCCTCACATCCAACCGTTAATCAATGAACTGATTGTGCAGATCCATCAATTACAAAACCTCGTCCAA